TCATTATTATGATGATTAATATGATTATTATTATACTTCTTATTATTATTATTATTATTATTATTATTATAATAATTATTATTATTATTATTATTATTATTATAATTATTATAATTATTATAATAATAATTATTATTATTATAATTATTATAAGTGAAGACGAGATGGTAAAAGATTTTCCGTGAAACAATGTAATTAATGTACAATCGTTTAAGATAGATGGTACAATCATTGTTTTTTATTATTATTATTATTATTATTATTATTATTATTATTATTATTATTATTATTATTATTATTATTATTATTATTATTATTATTATTATTATTATTATTATTATTATTATTATTATTATTATTATTATTATTATTATTATTATTATTATTATTATTATTATTATTATTATTATTATTATTATTATTATTATTATTATTATTATTATTTAGAGAATTTATTGCCATGATTGATAGTGGTGCCGATTTAAATGTTATACAAGAAGGTCTTATCCCTACAAAATATTTTCATAAAACTTCTCATTCCTTGTCACATGCTGGTGGAAAACCACTAAACATAAATTATAAACTTCCTAAAGTCTATATATGTAAGGATAAAAGTTGTATTCCTTCCAGCTTTCTTTTGGCCAAAGACATTTCTAGCCAACTCATTCTTGGTCTCCCATTTTTACATCAGATATATCCTTTGACTTCTGTTAATTCAAAAGGTCTCACAGGTACTTTTGAAGGAAAACCTATAATTTTTGAGTTTATAACAAAACATATACAAAGAATTCTTAATGAACTACAAGAGCATATTGACAGAAAAGAATTCCATATTAATTCTTTAAAAGAAGAAATTAGTTTTTTATCTATTGATGAAAAACTTAAAAATCCCAAATTACAGGATAAGATTAAAATTATCCATAATAATTTCTCTGTTGAAATATGCAATGACTTTCCAAATGCTTTTTGGGAAAGAAAGAAACATATTGTTTCCCTTCCCTACGAAGAAAATTTTAAAGAAGAAAATATTCCTACCAAGGCTAGACCTTGTCAAATGAATTCTGAATATTTGGAGTTATGCAAAAAGGAGATAAAATCCCTTCTTGACAAAAAACTTATTTCTCCCTCTCAGTCCTCATGGTCCTGTACTGCTTTCTATGTTAATAAACATTCTGAACAAGAAAGAGGGGTTCCTAGACTTGTTATTAATTATAAACCCCTTAATAAAGTTTTAAAATGGATTAGGCATCCTATCCCTAATAAAAAGGATCTTCTGGACAGACTTGTCCATGCCCTAATCTTCTCTAAGTTTGATTTAAAATCTGGATTTTGGCAAATTCAGATTGATAAATTTGACAGATATAAAACGGCTTTTAATGTTCCTATTGGACATTATGAGTGGAATGTTATGCCTTTTGGATTAAAAAATGCCCCTTCAGAATTTCAACAAATTATGAATG